CGCGCAGCAGAAGCAGTGCTCCATCGGCTCCAGCTCCTAAGACCACCGGTGCTTATCCAGTTACAGAGTCGTCCTCGAGAAGCACTCAACTACGTCCGAATCCACAGGCATACCCGCCGCTGATCCTGCTCCCCAACCCACAGTCAGACCCGTGGAGCTTGCCTCGCAGCACGTCCGCGACGGGATCCCGGTTAATCAGGAGCAGCTGGACTATGTGGCCGCTACCCTAAATGCAGCAGGAATACCGTCTCAGCACTCCACCTTGGCCTATGCAAAGGTCAATTCGGACCATCACTACTCCAAGATCACTCCACACTGGTTCATGCTGACCGTCCCCTACCTCGGCGCCACAGTTAGGCTCAAAGAACCAACGAAGACGCGACCCATGCTGCTCTGGACTCACGCTTCCAGTATTGGAGGTACTCGAGGCATACTGCGAAGCCGGCAGATCCATCCTTCCCGGCAGCACAGCTCGGAGTGCCCAGCCTTTTACGCCCAAGGATGGAAGATCACAGGACACCCCGACTATGATGCTGAAGAAATAGCCCGGATGATGTCTCAGAACTGGAGTATGTCTTTCAACATGGCCCAACTACTGCTGTTCGGGCGCGCTGTCGGTACCTGTCAGCCGATTCGTGGAGGGGGAGAACGGGCTTGCATCGAGGCGTTGGATTCCAGTGAGCGTCCTGACGTCATACACTATGTTGCAGGCAAGTGTTGGCTGGTGATTCCAGAAGCCAGCCAGATCGTTGGACTCGCATGGCCTACCGACGCGAAACCACCCACAGGTATTCTCCGCTCGTGAACCTGCATCAGGCAATGATCCAGATGACCAATCTACCGCTTCGGCAGTCATGCTTTCCATGAGCTTTATCGATGCGCTGGTCTTGCTACACCGGCAACCCGATCAGACGAACGGCTGCGCCTGATGACATTTAATGATGTTTCATTGCAATACCACATTGCCGTCTTCGCCCGCCGACAGCATTTTGCGACAAAAAGTGCAAGCCGGGCCTTTTGACGCAAGCACGACTTTATTTTGCTGGCCTTCTTGACGTGGTTTCCTTGGTCTTGTGTTGATCCGCGTGTGTTGATCGCTTTTTCTTAACGTCAAGGAAGTTTCCGGCCTCTGTTTGAAAACCTTTTGTCAACGTGTCAACCCGTGCCGCATGCCCAGCGTTTGGTCAATCAATCAGCCAGTGCCAGAGATAAACGACCATCCTTGATGGCCTCTCAGTGGCCCTACTCATGGCCGGCGACTTCGGCAACCCCTTCCTCGCAACCGATGTCTTCGCATCTTCCATCATGGTCGGTCCCGCAGTCCCAGACAGCAGCCTACTCAAGCTCCAACCGGATGGAACCCATGCAGCACCAACCTTGAGAGGAAGCAGTACCCCGAGTCAATCCTCCTCGGCCTCCACATATGGCCTACCAGTTCCCACCGCAGCCTCCCAGCCAGTTCTACAACCATCATGGCGGTGGCACGACCCACATACAGACAGGTTCTCGGCCCCCACCACCAGCACCACCAGTTCAACTTCAGCCTCGTGCCTAGGCCAAGGCGATACAACGCAGTATGCTCAGCCTCGCTATGCGCAACTTCTTCCCGGCACCTTTCAATCTGATGACATCTTTCTCGACAAAACGGAAGTCCGTGGCCTGCAACTATACCGTCATATTCAACCCACTCAGTGGTCTCGCAGGGTCGGACTCGCAGGAACAGCAATTCTAGACCTTCCGCTGACGCGTCTTCTTCGTGTCGGAGCAGAAGATCACGCGCTCCGAGCGCTATCGAACGGGCGATACAGCACACCGGTAATGGCTCAGACAATTGCCGAGGCGGTGCTATTGACATCAATCCTCAAAGCCTTGCGAGGCAGGGAAGTCGACATCGATCGGACAGCCCGCTCCCTTCACCCGGACAATGCGCCAGACAAGCGCAATGAGGCTATGCAGTTCATGGACTCAGAATCGTGGGCCTCATGGAGTCCCTGCAGCCCGCCAAGCAGGAGAACCTCACCCGCCACAAAATTGCCGAATTGGAACATCAGCTTGAGCGCTACAAGAGCAAAGGCATCACTCTCACACCGGACAAGAAGCAGCCATCTTCGCCTCCTTCCAATACCACTTCCTGGACTCCCACACCTGGCCGTTCTGACCAGTCCCTCTATATCAACAAAGCGATGTCGGATGCTCATGGGCCCCCCCTACCAGTCCCTTCTCCGGAGGCTGATCCAGCCCCCAAACGATGCCCGGCCAAGCGCAAGACTCCAGAGGCCGCCCCGGACATCACCCTAGATCCAGAGCTTTTACGTCAGGGCAATCCCAAGGGCCAGCAGGTCCCACTTCCCACCAGTCTCACGGACAAAGTCTTCAAAGCGTGGTTGCAGGAACGCACGCTGTCCAACCAAGCGGCTTATCTTGACCTCGTCAAGCAGGAGCTGGCATCGGACACGGTGGAGCAGTTGAAAACCATTGCAGTCAAGTGGGGGGCGACTATCTCGCTGGAGCGCTCCTACAGCTCATCACGGTACTGTACATGTACGGCAAGTGAGAGAAGCGATGCTCGCGCTCACGATGGAGGACGTTAGCAAACTATGAACCGGCTGGCACAAAAGGCCCCACTGCTAGGCGCGCGGTCCAAATCAAACTGCTCCCCTGTGGGTCGATGCCTTTTCCGCTAGGACGTTGTGGTTCCCTCTGGTCTTGTTTTCTTCCTTTGCTTTTTCTCTTTTTCTCGTTCTAGGTTCTCGGGGGTTTGCATGCCTGTGTAGTTCTACGTTGACCCCAACTAACACATCGGTGCTCAAGCCTGCTACATATGGCCAAGCCATGCCGGTCATCCAGTCTCCGGAAACGGTGTTTCTCCTGCAGCTCTTCGGCAAGTATGCAAGTTCAGAACTATGCGGCGCTGCCAAACACTATGGCATCCCTGAACCCATGTGGCCAGTTAGCTTGCAACACGGCACCGACCACTTCCTTCCCTACCTCACTGCGCTCATTGCACTAAGACTCGGTGATCCACTCGATGTCAACGCATCCTACCAATATTATCAGGTTCTCTACCTGATCATCATTACGTGTCGCAGAGTTCTCAACATGCCGATGGTCAACAAGCAACTGTCCATGTGGGCCGAGTCCCTAGCCACACTGCTCATGGTTCATCACTACGGCCGTCCCGCACATGCACTTATTACAGAACTCAGGCGCCGAATACGACGCTTGCACATCCACCCGAACATGTACACCTTCACCCACTTCTCGCAGACCAATGCGGTGTACTGGAAGCAGCGAGTAGAACTCCGCCCTGACTTTCCGCGCTCAGTCAACCCGCAGTCCGATGTATACATTGGCAGTACCAGCATCACTTATTCCAGCCGAGAGCACAATCGTAGAGCCAAGTTGCTGGGCATTCAACATGGGCAATTCATTAATGCTGAACCAGCACTCAGATAGCCTCTCCATCCTCCTCTCAGGAGCTAGGTCACGGTCAGCCCTTGCCACCAAGTACGCGCATCCGGCCAGGGCAGCACAGATGGCACTGGATCAGCTTCGCAGCATCTATTTGTCCGCAGGCTACAAGTCAGCTGACCTGCAACACCTGTTTCACCTACCGGCGACTCCAACACGAAAGAATCCTCAAGCGCCTGCCTTTTTGGTTCTTTACCCTCATGTGTCCGCGTTGGTTTTCTTGTTTTTCTTGGTTTTCTTGTTTCTTGATGTCCGTGTTGACCCTGGTGCTCATACACTGGTTCAAACAGTGCTGCACTTCCTGTGGACCTCCGCGAGCTGTCGCCATGCTCGGCCGCATGATAGCGCTTCATCAACGCATGACTCAGAACGCTGGTGACATGATGCAGCTCATTCAGGAGACCTTGAACCAAGCTGACGAGGCACGCAGTCGCCGGCGCCATGACGGGCAAGGTCGCTGGCAACAACAACATGTCCACGGCCGGTCACTGGCCGAGCCATCACGGCTACACGCACCTGCTCCTATTGGAGCCGATGAGGTAAACCCACCTGGCCCGCCGATGTCGACTCCAGTCAACCCAGCATCTCCGACCGACCCTCCACCACATGTCGGATTCCAATCAATTCAGTCACACGCAGACCACAGGCGGAATGTGGCGGTCAACCCCAAGTTGTTGTCCTATTGCATCATCGCGGCGGACACCAACGACCCTACAGATCTGCGTTCGAAGAGCCCCATGGTGCACGATTACGTTGGTGATCCGGGCTTCAAGAAGGCCAATGTTCCTCGCTCTATAATGGACAAGGGTGAGGCCGATCGACGCAGAACCAAGCGAAAGCGATGCCGCGCTACATCCTCCGAGAAGACGGACTCGCCGGAACCTCCAGCACGTCCAGCCAGCTCCAGCTCCGGTCTCTCCCTGCGCTGGCCTGGTATCCTCTCCTTTCCTGAACCTCCAGCTCATGCTCATTCCGATGCCGGCAACCCTGGAACTCCCCCGGAAGCACCTCGTGCCTGGACAGAGGAAGATGACCAGCAGCTTTGCAGCCTGAAAGCGGACAACCGGTCCAAGTACTTGTACAAATCGCTGGCCAAGAAGCTCAACAGGTCCATCGCGGATGTCACGCAGCGCTGGAAGAGCCTGGAACGCCTCAGGAAAGCTCGGGAACAGCATCAGAAGACTACCTGAACGTGTCCAACACAGCCTGTCCAGTCGTCTCCGGTGATACATGTCAGCTCTACCACGGATGTGGGGCATCGACTTTTTGAACTCCAGATGGGAGCAATGCGTCCCTTCGGCCACAATCAAAAAGTCCGCAAACAGTCGCCGCCGGTGTATGTCTTGGCATGGTTTTGGTTTTCTGTTTTGTTTCTGTCGCTGGGGGCCCCTGCTGTCTGGGTTCCTGGTTGGCCCTTGTTTTAGAAACTCGGCTTGTTAATAACTGTCGGATACATGCGCGTCCCTGTCTTCCAGACGCACAGGCAGGAATTACAAAAGTGACCAAATCTCCCATCGAGCATCATGATGGAGGCGGCCTTTCGGGTTCCTGTGGTTTCCCCCTGCGGGGGGTGTGTGTGTGGCCCCCCTGTTCCTAAGGGGTTTCCGCTGTTCTTGTGTGCTTGGTGTCTGCCCATGCCAGCAAACCGACCCCCTTTCTTAGTACCTCGTCGCGGTAGTCATGGGCACTGACGAGTAGCCGCGGTGAGCGAACAGATCGGGAAGGTAAGATGACGAAACTCCACTTTTCACCTTCCAGTTGCTTGGGGGTGCACCATGGCAGTTTCGCCGTCTCATATCAAGTGTGTGTGTGTGTGTGTGTGTGTGTGTGTGTGTGTGTGTGTGTGTGTGTGTGTGTGTGTGTGTGTGTGTGTGTGTGTGTGTGTGTGTGTGTGTGCGTGTCTGTATGTCTGTGTGTCTGCGCGTCTGTGCATTTGGATGCCTGTTTGCGTGCGTTGGTGTGCTTGTGTTTGCGCGTGTGCGTTTGCGTCATGTGCGCGCGCGTGCGCGCGCGTTGGTTCGCATGTTTGCGCGTTTTTGTTTTCGGCCATGGAATTAAAGCGGCGTTGGTTTGCACATGTTTGTACGTTTGCGTGTTTGTGCTGTTGGTCAGTGGAATCAAAGCGGCGGGTGTCCAACGCTTGGCTTCTGGTCGGGCTGGCGAGTGGCTTGCAGGAAGCAGAAGTGGCAATGCCCCCTACTGTGGATGGACGAAACGCATTTCGCACCACCTAAGAAAGCCTGGAATGACGATTCCCCTGTAAATACACACAAACGGTGGTTTCTCATGGTTTCAAAGTGGTGCGAAATGGATTTCGTCCATCCACAGTAGTACTCATAGTAAAGGAATGCAACCCAAACCACAGGCCGGCTGGACAAATAGTCCATGTCGGGATTGGACTTTAGCCAGAGTTGGGCCAATTTCTTGTTCAACCATGTTTAATGGGACCCCCGAAACAAGCAGAGTCGCCCTGGTTGATTCTGAGAGATGTCCCCTTTTAGTGGCCGCTTTGCCCCTCTTTGAACAGACCTTGTATATTTCAGGTTACTCTCGGTTGGTGGTTTGGATTGGTGCTTTGGGCCAAATGGGAGTACCAACACCCCAGTTGGCTTCAAACGTGCTGGGGTTCCAACACCCAAACCAGCAATCCAGACCACCAATGAATCAGTTTCTCCTTGGGTGGTTGGATTGGTGCTTTGGACAGGAGATGGTTTCCCATTTACCCTCCACAAGAACTGGGCTTTGGTGCATCTTGCTTGGATGTTAGGACTTTAAGCTTTTTGCCAGCAAATGGGTTTTCCATTAAACCACTAAAAGTTAAACTTTTGGCAGGGGAGCAGAAACCAAGCGAGTAGGGATGTCACCACCAATCCAAGCCAACTGAGGGGAAGCTTGAGGTATACTCTGCATGCTGAGGTACCACCACCTCCTCAGAGCCGGTGCTGGAGGAGATGGCGACCACCTGGCAACTCTTGCAGCCCAGCTTTGGACGCGTCTTTGTCTTTGGCTTCGTTCCAGCCACTTCCAAAAAGCACATCTACTGACTATGAATGTTGATTAGTTGAACTCTTTGGCGAACATCATTTAAATGCTTGGATTGATGTCAAGCAGCGATCTTTCAAGATTCATAGCTGACTTTGGGGAATCTGGGTTCACCCACCCTTTCTATCGACCTCCTTCGCAGGATGGCCACTTGGGCGACTTTGGCAAGCGCTACACTTTAGGCCAGGCTCTCAGATAGCTCGAGCCGATTGGTGGAGAGAGTACAGTTCTGGATTTGTTGGATTCTCGGGCCACTTTTTGTGATAGCAACATATAGCAACAGCAAAGGATCCCCATCTGTGAGTGGCCAATCCTTTCAAAGCGTATGTCCATTTGGTTGAATCTTTGGACTTTAACTTCTTGGTTGCACATGGTGGATTGTCCATTGGCCCCACCAACAAGTCAAGTTTTTTAAAGAGGGGTCGTTACAGCAACCAAGCCAGTGCTGGAAGGGAGCCAGTTGCCATTCGCTGAGGCAAACAGATCGGGAAAGGATCTCAGGCCGGGCTGAGGGAGTGAGGCTCTGGCCGGACCGGCTGGCTTGCCCAAGGGCATCCCTCTGAACAGAAGTAGGGCCCACTTTGGTTGCACAGAAAGGGGTTTATGGTATCTATAACCCGCGGATGCTTTGTATTCCTTTTGGTTTAGAGGTAAATCACTACATCAACATACCACAGGTTTGTTTTGCAAACTGTCGATTTGGAATCAAGTGGAACCAAACCATCTGTTCAAACTAGTTCGATCCCTCCAGAAGGCTATTTGAAGGCTTGGCGCGCAAGTTTGGTTATATTTTTGCTCCGTGTTGTCTTTGCACCGTTGGCCATTGGCCAGGATTGGATTTGGATTTCTGGCTTAGAGAGTAAATGGGAGACCCCACCAAACTACCGCCGAGCTCCAAACCACCAGTGATCAGGGAGATGATAGCTAAAGCACAAAGCAGTGGACCAGCCACACCCGCAAACCCCCAAACCACCAATCCAAACCACCAATTCGAGGGAACACGGACGCTGGCCTCAGTTGGCGGTTTGCATCTTTTTTTTGGATTTGAACCTCTGGTTCTTGAAGCTGAGGGATGGGACACCACACCACCAAACCGCCAAGCCACCAATGAGGGAAGCTGAAACTGGAGTGTCGGATCAGGGCGTCGTGCACCTTTGCCACGACCGCGAAAGCGGCGCTTGCAAAGCCGTGAAGGCGCGCGGGGCCAACGGCCGCGGGTGCGGTGGTTTGGCGGTTTTTTGAGGCTCGGGAACTCCGGTTTTGGGGTTGTTTTGCAGGGAGACCCACCCGACCCCCATTCTTTGGGCGGTTTTCAAAGAGAGAACCGCCCAAAGAATGGGGGTCGGGTGCTAACACAAAACAACCTGGGTTGTGTGAGTGGCCAAGGCAACCCAGTCAAAGTGACACACGGGAAACCATGTTGATATCACCCGAAAGGGTGGGTTTTCCACTGGGCTTCCATGTTGCGTCTCCGAGTTCCGAAACTCAGACTTTGGCCACTTGGGTTCAGACCATCGTGATCCCAGGCGTTTCGCCCAACAGTTCTCCCTTTGGTTTTCAAAGGATGGCTCATTCCCTTCGTTTCCCACAAGTAAATGGAATCAGCGGCGTAAACCAAAAGTGTGGTTGTTTGGGGATGTGTTTGCCACTTTCGATGGAAAGTGCAGAATGGTAAAACTCGGAAACAACTCCCGAGGAGCATGGGAGCTGCAAGTGGCAGCCAAGTGGCGATGCTATGGCCACGCGGAATCCCTTTCTTGGAGAGCTGCAGGGCTGTGTTTCTTAAAATCCGCATCTGTCCCCTTCCCAGAATGGCAACGGTTTGGCTTGGTTTCCGTCTTGTTACACCAGAATTGGTACCCTCAAAACGTCCCAACTGCGGCGATTCGCAAATTTTTGGTCCACCCATGTGCCTACAGTGAGGCTGGATTGACTTTGCCTGGGCCTTGGCACCCCAGAGAAAACATAAACATCCATGGCGCCGAGATGCTCGACCGGAGAAACAAGACGGCCTGGGCAACCTACAAGCGAGAGGCGCCCATGACTGCGTCGAATGGGGGCTGGCGGAGCAGCAAGTTGACATCCGAGGTTCCCTTTGTGGGTCTAACATGGCCTGGTTGGGGGTGAGTTGAACAGGGTTTTCATGTTGGAAGTCAGTTGGTTGCCACTCTCAACCAAAGCGACGTGAACAAAGTTTGTTCTCATGGGGATGGGAATCGACCACTTTGGTTGGAAGTGGAGAGGGGGGTCCACCGGAGAAGCAAAGTAGTCTTTTCACGCCTTCCTGTCGCACGGTGCTTCATTTCTGATAGGTCCAGGGTTCAACAAGTTGACCTCCGAAAAGTTGCAGCTTGGGAAGTCCGGCGTAGGAAGTACCGGAACCACCCCGCTTTTGCCGGCACTGGCCAAATCGACTGGGGAGTGCTGCTGAAGTGTTTTGCCGCCTCCCGCGGAGATCAAGCCAGTTTGCTCAGATGGACTTTGGGTCTCCAGATGATTCGGGGTTGACAACAGTTCATTTTGTGTGGAGCCTTTAAAGGGTCCTTCTTGCCCCCTGGGGCCAGACGCAATTTTCTCAACAGTGGGCCAGTTGCCTAGATGGTTCCCTTGATCAACCAATAGGCGATCAAAAGAATCACTGGAAATTGTTTAGGCTTCGGTAGTCAACCAGGGCTGTTCCCTTTCTGGAAGCAATCCGGAGGCTGACATGTTGCACCAGGCTCCTTGGTTTTGCAACCAGCAAGTTTGGCTGCCAAGCCCTCAGATGGGTGTTTGGCCAAGTTGGAAAGTGGCTAGCCTGGTTGGCCACTTGGGTTACAACCCCTCATAACAAGGTGATTCCCCTTGAACGGGGGACTTATCTGGAGGTTACAACCCAAGTGCACACTAGTAGGCTAACAAAGCATTTCCAACTTGCTAACTTGGCAAGGAATACCCAAGTAGGTAAGTAGCTGTGGCTCACAAAGCATAGTTTGGCCTTCGTTTCCACGTGCCAAGGTGCCATGCTGGGTACCTTTTGCTGAGCCGCCGCCAAGTAAGTACTTGGGTGTTCGGCAAAGCTAGTAAGTTGTTGCTATCCTGGCTGATTTCCCACTTATAAATCCCCCTTATCTTTGAGTTAACCATGTTATTTGTGGGTTATAACCCAGTTGGGCAACCACTTGCTAACTTGGCCGAACATCCAAGTTGAAAACAGCCCTGTAAACCAAAAGAATCCCGTTCGCCAGCCATGGGTTTCGCCGTGCCAGGTGGAACTGTCTCAGGCCACGACGGGGAAAAATATCGCCAGCGTGATGGAGGAGCCTGCGATTCGGACTCGCTCGTTTTTTCATTCGGAGTCCGCCGCGTCAATAACTTGCGAGAATCACCATGGAAGTGCAGGTGGTTTCAAACAGAGCCTAGTAGAATTGTGTTTGGTTGGAATCTGATTGGCGTCAAAAGATGGGTCGCTCACCATTTGCCATGCCTTTGCGCTTTTTGATTGCGGAAACAACTACCTGGAGTCTCCGTGACCTTTCAAACATTGGGTCATGACCCGGACCTCATTTTCTTGCTGCGTAGGGAATGAGGGAATGTGTCCTGAAAGGAAGCCACCGGTTGGCTTGTCTTGGTCATTCCAACTCATTCCCTGCTCAGCACCAGCCGTTTTTTGTTTATGAACGCCCCCCAGTCAACCGCTTCGCTGAGCGAGGAGTTTGTGGACGCAGAGCGCTGCTATGTGATCATGGAGAAGTTCGAGGCCGTTGGGGGTGTTTTCCCTGCACCGAGAGACGTGTCCGCGGGCGATCAATCAGCCCATGTTAAATTTGGGCGGTTCGGAACCGGCGACTCGGCCGGTTCAACTGTCATTTTCGTGGTTTCTGAGGGCAACCACGAGGACCTTTTTTTGGACCCCCCCCCCAAACAAGACACACCCAAATATTTCGGATGGTTTGGTCGATTTTCCGGACATGATGCATTTGGAAGAATTGGACTTACGAACTCAGGAAGCTTCAACCAAAGGGGGGCTCACTGATGTCGCAAGGGAACCAGATTGTTGGTTGCGAAGGCACAGCCCCCCCCTCCCCGATTTGTCCAGGAGGAACACGACGAATCGCGGAGGTTGAACTCTCTACCAATCTTGGTGTGCGCGGCTTTCCTGGAGAACAAGAAACATCTTCTTCGGAGGGTCAATTCGCTTGTGTGGTTTCCTTGGTGTGAGGGTAAACCAAAGTTTGTGGGTAAAAGACGATGTGCGTTAAGTTTGGAGATGGAACAGATCACAAACAGGACTGATATGCAAAAGGTAGATATGGGGCGGCGGGCTCAGCATATACATATATGCAGATATCTCCAGATATATATATATATATATGTGGTCCCCCCCGCCGCAAGATCCGCACCAGAGTCTTTCCAGATGCATATAGCGTGGATGGATCAGAATCTGATTCCCCCAAGTGGCCAAGAGAGGCCATCGGTTCCTTTCCACGGCCGCCATTTCGAAACATACAGTGGATGGTTGCGAAATTCATTTCGCACCACTTTGAAACCATGGTTGAAACCACCGTTTGCTGGTATTTACGTTGGGGAATCAGCAGAAACCGGGCTTTCTGAACGGCGCGAAGTGGATGACTCGCGTCATCCACAGTATCCGCAGGGACACCTGCGAAAAGCGCTGAAGTGGGTGGCCAAGGAGAACGGCGATGAGGTGGCTTTCCCAAGCCCCGAGCGCGTCGCATGACGTGGAGGGACCCCCCGAAAGCGGAGCTTGTTGAGTCTAAGACTGGGAACATGGGCACCAAAAAGTCGGGGATTCCAGAAGGCTCCCGGGGGGGGGGGGGGCTGATTTTACTGTCACTAGTTCACCCAGATATAGGGGTCCTTGGACAGTTTGGTTGGCAAACCGGTGCCGATCTGTTTTCCAAAAGAGCACCCAGGTTAGCAGTGTGCCAACCAAATCTGGAAACAGACTGCTGTTTGGATGGTGATTTGAGGGAAGCCAAAAGGAGCCTGTAGCCAATTTCAGGCTCCCCCTTGTTTGCTACACCCAACTCCAAATCAGTGAACCATTCTCATTGCACTTGCCGTACACATCCATGTAAGGGAACTTCTTCTTTCAGGGTGCTAACCCTTTCATCGCGGGCAGCATTTTGCTTCCCACTTGCGACTGGATCTTTGGCTCCGGGCGCGCTGGCCAAGTGGAGCCAGTGAATTCCCCAAATTCACATAGCGCAGGGCCCAAACCTGTTGGAGCGCATCCCAAATCTTTAAACTGGTTATACAAAGGCCCTTAGACTCTGAACCAGAGTTGTGGGACAGATACTCTTTCCTCCCTTTTGTGAGACCAGGAACCGTTCTCCTTACAAGGACAGGTCTAGGAAGGTCTACGAGCGGTATCACAGTGCCCAAACACGCGCGACCCCAAAGCAGGCCCCATCAGGGCCCCTCCACTCCAATGAAGACCCCGACTCAGTGATCTTGGGAACAGCGGCCCATTTTGACCCAACAATGAGGAGCCTGAGGGTGGTTCATTACTCAAGTGTTCAGTATCAACACCAGAGGGTTCCATGTTTTTTGGTGTTTTTTCACCTCTCTTTTTTGTTCGCTAGGTACTGAAAAACATTCGACCCCCACCAGAGTTCTCTTCCGGTCGCTGGTTGCCAGACTCACTATCAGGATCTGCCATGAATAGGCCCACGAGCTTCTGGGTGGCAAATGTGGCAACGGTTCATCCACGTGATATCACATGATGTTGGTTTTTGTTGCCATACTGATTGAGAGGGCAGATGTTTGTAGGCAACCACTACTTGGGTGTTCGTTACATGTTTGCTCACTCCCTGAAAGCCTGGACTTTATGCTTTTTGGGAGGACCATCTTTGTGACGAACAAACAATTTGGACGTTCTTTGGCCAATCCACTCAGGAAGTGCGATACTAGCACGGGACAAAAACATCAAAACAACTCAAACAATATTCAGCCAAGAACCTCAACTGAAAGCACAGCCTCAAAGCAAGACATAAAGAAACACAGCAAAACTAAGTTTTCAACTCAGAACAAGAAACTGCTAGGCTTTGGAGAGCGGCAGCCACTCGCATGACGTCCGGAAAAAGTGGCAGCCGCCAGGCTGCAGGCCTCGACGCCTACTCCCTTAGCAACGTTGTGCGGCAGGCGCAACTGCACTGCGGGCAAGGGGAAGGGACGTCGGGGGCTTGGGAGACGTCGGTGGCTTGGGACGTCGGAGTTTGTTTTTGTTTGTTTTTTTTCTTTTCTGGGGATGGGGGGAGAGGAGCACACGAGTTGCAGAGATCTTGTTCTCGAATGCCATCTTCGAATGAAAGCGATGAGGATCAACTCAAGAACATTGGGGTTAAACGTTAGGGCGCTCGACGCAAAGAAGATACATTATCGCGTTCATGCACGGTATGTTTAGGACAAGCAGGGGTGCACATGTTTACACGGAAACCAAACTTGGGACTTCTATCTCAAGGCTCTGCCGTTTTTGATTCTAAACTGCGGCTACAGACTTCGCAAGAGGCAGCCTGAAAGTGCGTAGTTTGCTTATCATGATAGTTTGTGTTTGTGTGTGTGGATGGCTTTGGACTGTTGAGCCAAAAACTACGTCAATTTCTAACATCTAATTTCGCGTGCACCGAGCAGAATTCATGCCCTTGCAGTCTTGAATCTCTACTATTCTGTTTGTATGTTATTTTAACGTTGACATTTATAGCATTTTTTAGATGCAATTAGACGTGTGCATATTTGCTGATGCTTCCTTACCAGCGCATCCCCTTTCGCGCATTTGCTTAAAACGACAAACACGAGCAGTGACTAGAAAAGGTCTCAGAACACTTCCAAGAACCCTTGCCAGAAGCCTTCAAGGGGTCCCTATATTTCATTTTGGCTGTTTTAAAGATATCACCTTTCTGGCCCGTGAAAGGTGAGTACCCCTTGGTGGGGGTGATGTCTTAAGGGGAAATATAGGGAGCCCCGTGGGTGGGGCGCGAAGGCCTCCATTGATCAAAAGTCTGCAGGTCCTCAGCGCCATTTTGCACCTGCACACCTGCGGCGTGGTGCACCGTGATGTCAAGGCGGGTCATCTGGTCATCTGGTCCTCCCGGGAAAGCGTCACAGGAGTGCAGCGTTGGGTAGAACGAGGCCCGTTTGTGGGCCCCAGTGTTGTGTCGCGAGGAGATTGCGTGGGAGTGCCTCCGATTAATTCCCCCCCCCCTCTCGCCAAACAACTTCCCTCCCCAAATAGTTCTCCCAACTCGATTACGAATTGCTATGTATGTCTCACAGATTTGTTGTGTTTCAATTGATTTAGTATTGCTGGAGCCTCCTTTTGAGATTGGATTCGGGTTTCCACTTGGTTTAGTATTGGTGGATTTTGAGTTGATTTAGTATTGCTGAAGCTTCCTTGAGCAATGACCTGAGGGATTTGAGTTTCCAATTGGTTTAGTAGCGCGGGAGTCTCTTTTTGAGATTTGACTTGAGGGATTTGAGTTTCAATTGGTTTAGTATTGCTGGAGCCTCCTTTTGAGGTTTGACTCGAGGGATTTGAGTTTCCAATTGGCTTAGTATTGCTGCTGCTGGAGCCTCCTTTTGAGATTTGACTTGAGGGATTTGAGCTTCCAATTCATGGTGACATCTTTTCTTCTTCTTTTTTTTGGGGGTGGGGTGGGGTGTGGCAACCAGGAATCTTTATTTAGGGGGGCCCCCTAAATAATGCTTTTTCAACACCCAAGTACTAGCCCCTTGCGGAGTTGATTAGGGTCCACTCTTTAAACAAGAGTATGAATAATTGGCAGTTTAAAGCTGTTTTGTTGGATTTCAAAAGCTAGAGGATTTGAATTCATAGGGCGCAAGCTTCAAGGGAAACCTTTAAAAGATTGAGCCTTTTACAAAGAAAGCCTTGTCAAACACGAGTTGAGATTGGGTCACTGTTTCTTCTTTTTTTTTGGGGGGGGGTGGAGGGCAAGCAAGAATCTTTATTTAGGGCCTAAATCATGTTTAGGGCCACTTTTTAAACAAGAGCATTTAAAGAAATTGCAGTTTGGGAGCTTGTATTTTTTGTAGATCCGAAAGTTGAAGGCAGTCGAGGCAGATACTGACCAATCAGACTAGCTAGTGGAAGAGGTTGCGATGATGCTGGCGGGTGTGTGTGTGTGTGTGTTTTGTTTGGTGTGTTTTTGCCAGTGTGTGTGGATTCCCCAGAAAAAAATAGAAAAAGCAAAAAACACTTTGGGGGGGGGGTGATTAATCGGTGCTGGCCCACAACATAGTTTCATTCGGGGGGGTTAATTAATCATAGGTAGACATTAGCCAGCAGGAAATCCTTCCTATTTGGCTTTTGAGCTTTGGTGGGTTCACAGCTTTTTGCCTCATAACAACTCCAGTCGTCTCGGGTGAATTTGGGAGACATGGACATGGGGAACTCCAGGTCCGTTCGGAAAAGAACAAAGCATGCGTAATTTTGACCGCTATGCCCTTTGACACATTCCCAAATGTGAACAATCACAGCCCGGTTCAGCGAAGGTAAGGGCCAATCCCAACCATAGGCGTGGGGGGTCCGACCTCCTATTTCTTTGCATGGTCTTGGGCGGGCCATGTTAAGACCAGGTTTGATGACAACGATTGTTTCTGGCTTTCCCCTCGGCTTTCTTGAGCAGCTCTGGTCGAAAGCTTCGACTTGGAAGGCTTAGAGCCCACCCTAGACATTTTTTCCTACGCCAAGAAAACGAATTTGAAAGGATGGCGGTCGCCCTTGGTTTACCTACACCAAGGGGCACGGAGTCACTGGGAAGGTGTCCTTTGAAAGAGATTCCTTTACAAACCCGTGCCAGTTTCTTTTTGGGTAAGGGGACCCTATGAAGTGAAACCTAGAGGTAGAGAAGCCCTGGTTACCTAGACACTCACTTCCCGAGTTCAGGGAATTGATACTCTCTGGGGAAGACTGCTATTGGGTTAGATCTTTAGACTTTAACTTTTGGTAAAAACAAAAAAAAGTGTTTTCCACTAAACCCCCCAACAGTTAAACTCTTTGCAGGGGGGTCAACAGCAACCAAGTGGGGAAGACCATTGTTGTGGCATATTCAAAGTTTGGACTCTCTTTGGGCCATCCACTCAGGAAGTGAGGACAACTTGGACAACTTGGCCACTTAAAGCATTGGGCATGAGTTCTGGGGGCCACTTGCAGCATTGCCTTTTTCACTGGAGCAAAGAGAAGCCAACGAATGTTGTGGACAATGTGAGACATGTGACCTCGTGGGTGTTTCCCAAATTGGGCAACCCCAAAATAGGTGGATCTTTCCTCGGGTGTCCCTTTAAAAGAACCCTCCATAGGTAACCATCGTTTGTTGGTATTTACGTTGGGGAATCACCATTGCAGGCTTTCTTAGGTGGTGCGAAATGGATTTCGTCCATCCACAGCATGGGTGGGTGGCTTGTCCTAGGCTCGGCACTTGCTTGCTCGATTGCCTAATTAGCCACATTGGGTGTTTTTACCCTTGAACGGGGGACTTATGAGTAGGTTATAGCCTAGGCTACCAACCACTTATTAACTTGGCAACGAACATTGTCTTGTGTGCAAACCTGAGCCAGACCCGAGTGAAACCGATTGAAACCACCATTTTTATCTCAGTTGAGCCTGGATTTCGCGTCACCATCCGCAGTATCACACGGTCCGTCGGCGAGGCGCACAATCTTCTCATTGACCGCTACGATCTCCGGGATTCGAAGCTGGGGACTCGGCGACTTTGAGTGCCCGTTTGTCCATGTTTCTTTTGGAGGGGTCCCTTTAATTTAAACGAAACTTATTATATACCCGCCAGGTGCTCCTTTCTTGTCTGTTCATGTTGAGGGGTCTTTAATTTACAATCAAGCCATGTACTTTCGGATGTTAAACTCACTTGTCATTTTGGTTCAACCTCGAATCCACCAGGAACGATGACTTCCTCTTGCTTAAGGGTATTGTACAGTTTCCCCTGTTGGTGTTGAATGGAATGATAACCCTCAGGATCCGTCACTCCCCCAGTACGGGGTCAACATTACCCGTGTGCTTGGGGGGATACCCCCCGCGTTCCTGTGGAACCGGATGGGGAAGGCGATTGCCCGCTAACCTCCAAACATGTGCGAACACGTCTCTTTGTTTTGGTTTTCCCCGAAACCAACTTGAAAAGGGTTTCCGAAATACCACATCTCCAAATGTGTCTGTCTTGTTTGAGGGGCCTCCAAATTTGTGGCTTTCTTGTTGGCTTCCTGTAGAACCAACAAGAGGGGACCCTCAACCTCAACGAAAACGACACCATGTTTCCCTGCAGGTGCCGCATCGTCCTGTCAGACTTTGGCCTTGCGAGGCCGGGAACACGGGTCACCGGAGTTCTCCAAAGCGAGCGTTGACCAGTTGACTGGTGATTTCTTGGGGAGGCAAGCCCCACCCCTGCCAGGTTGTTGCGAGAAAACCTGGGGGAGGGGGAGGAATTAGCCTATGGGAAAGCGAACCTGCCCTGCAATTTTGGTTGGAGCGAGCTTACACACATAGTTGAGCCCCTTGCTCGCGTAAAGTTGGAATGGCCGGAAACCCGGCCGCAGGTTGAACGCTCGGCAGAGCCACAGCATGCCTTAGTGAAGATGATGGTTAGTGGATGGAGGTGGCTCCCCCCAGCATCATTTCAATCCTTTGGGTATGGTCTTTTTGGGGGGAGCCCCCAAGAATGGGAGTGTTTTCCCTTTGGTTTCCCCTCACCACTGAAAAAGGAGTGCGGGTGAGGATGATTCCGCTTGGGGCTGATTTCGACTGGAAGGCGAGCCTCCGGCTCCTTTCCCCCTATGTGTACAGCGCAGGTGATATCCCCAACTTATTTGGGGATTCCTTATTGAAATCGTTACGCGATCCGCCGACGCCAGTGAACAGTCCCCTATAAATAAACTGGGATGTCCCAGATGCTGATGATGCTGGAAATGCAAGGAATGCAACCACACAACATACAAAATCACACCCAATCTTCGCACCCAAAATGTTAAGACTTTCAGACATGCAAAATTGACCAAACGCAGAAAATACCAGAGATGTCGGGAATGCTGGGAACGCAGCCGGCTAGCCACAAAAAAAACCAAAAGCCATGGTGTTTTCGATATTCCCCAAAATCAACCATCAAAAGCAGATTCTACAACCCCCCTCAAATACCCTAAAAAATAGACTTCCAAACGCACGACGATGCAGGGGATGTTTCGCAGTAACTGCTCCGTACAGGTGTGGAATTGCAAAAAATACGCTAATTTTTGGCAAATGTCCACAGTTCCTCAAAGTATCACTGCACTTGGCCCCACCCAAACCCCGAACAGGCCAATTCCAACATCGCTTGAAACAGCAAAACACCACTAGCATCTGCAAAAAAAGAGACAAATTCATGGCAACAAGATAATCCTGATGATGCTGTCCGAGGGAACCCCCCCCGCTAGAGACCTAGGCGAAACGCATTTTTTTTTAGCACGCAAGACCCAAAAACACTGGAAAACTACAGGGTTTTGGACACCCAGCGCAGCATGCTCAAAAAGTAGCAGTCCCAAAAGCCTTCGGCTTTGATAAGAGATTCCGAAGGAAGACCAAGTTGCGGACTGCCATCTACACGCTCGACTGGCATCGGCGGATTTCCTCCAATGCTCGAAATATAGTAACTTGCCCCGACAAGTCGTTTGTGGTGGGCATGAAGTACCTCATGTGGTTGTAGATGTTGAGGCGATATCTGCGGGTCTAGAAAATCCCGAGCTGGACATGCTGCCAAAGTTGGTGATCCAAGGAGGTCCCAAGTTAAGTCCTCCAAGAACCCTCCAACAAACCTTTTGAGCATCCCCCAACCCTTGGCGAGAATTCTCTTCTGTCAGGCTGGGGAACGCTCAAAAGGTACTGTACATGGACCAACTCCGGCGCTACACCACCTGCCATCAGGTGCTGGTCTTTTGTCTATCCAGAGTATGGTGGAGCATTGATAGACACTTGTCTCGCAATGGAGGAACCCATCACCAAAAAAAGGCTGGTTGGTTTTTTGAAGGGGGACCCGCAACTAAACTCTGTCTTTGTAAGAGGACCACCCCTTTCTTTGTGTGTTTTTTTTCTAGCGGACCAACAAAAACTAGAACCTTTTTTGAGGGGTTGGGGTGTGCCAAAACACCCCCCCTTCCCGCGCGCGCGTTCCACTCCCACCCGGTTGAACGGAGTCTTCGGAGGCGCCTGGAGCCCGGCCGATTCCTTTGCGCACAGGCGACATGGCGATGGATCGGTCCGGTCAGTTGGAGATGGATCGATGGATCGCCGGTTGGGTGGCTCGGTTTCTTTGTTTGGGACCTCCCAAAATGGGCTTTACGTGTTTGGGATTCCTTCAAAAAAAAGCCACCACAGATTTGGTACCCCCCTTCCCCACCCCCCTCCCACAATGGTGGGGGGGGACTTTTGGAAGGAACTGGAGGATACCCTATGTCTTTTCTTTCATTGCTACCAGGCTGGGGGTTTACCCTGAAAACAACCAATGGGTGTGTCGCATGAGGGAGCTCCATTAAATCCCTCCCGTTTCTGGACTTACTGGACAAGACCATTTTGGTGGCAAACAGTTTGGACGTTTTTGGCCAATCCAGGAAGTGAGATTCCTTTTGAGGCCACTCCACAAAGAGTCAGCAAAACGACGCGCCTCGCATTTGAGGCCGTGTCATGCGTCTTGCGTCTTTCGGCGTCGCTTTTCGCCAGGTTGGTACCAGGAAATACTGGGCGCCTGAGTTGTACGAGAAGAAGTGCGCCTGGATCCGATGGGACCCTGCCGTACCCCGACCAGAGCCGCAGATGAAACCTTGGTTCCCCCAAAGTAAGGATAGTGCTTGTTACTGTTGAGCCCGGATTCATAAACTTTTTGGGGTGTGTTCCCTCCAAAGTGATGAGCCCCACTGGAACGGGGACACCACCGTCCAAGGAGCACCAGGGCCGGGGTTTATTAGTCTGAGGTTTAGTAATGGGTCTCCAAGCTGGGAGTTTCTCAAAATGGACCCCTAAATGTTTGTATTAGTCAAATGCATGTACAAAGCTTTTAACAGAAACACCCAACAAAGAAAAATAGATTCTCAGTTGCAGAAATCGGGTGACTCGCACATCTCTCGCAGGTACTGGCATGTGGTCGACGTCTTTGCCGTCGGCGTCCCGATCTCAGAGGAGAGCCCAGCCTGCGGGGTGAACAGCCCGGAGGTGTTGATGGCTTGATGATCCCGGATGAATACCCCCCCCTTGCGTAATAAGGGGGGGTAGCCCACTCAGTGGGGGGGTTATCTTTTTGGGGGAAAAGACCCCCTTATTAAAAATAAAAGAACAAGTCTTGTCTGGTGTTCTGGAATTCGGCAGGGGCTCGACCAGTTTCCGAGGGGCTCACGCCGATGCGCGAGTGAAAGTGCCATGTGGGGTGTTTGGGGTATGCTGCGGGCTTGGTTGTGGAAACCAGAGGGAAACGACCCTACTGCCGGTAGAGCATGGCCGGTCGTTTTGTTTTCCCAAACGCTCTGGACTTTTTGGGACGTAAACGATTTTTCAGATGAAGCGTGGAAGCAACTCGCAGAGGGCCGAACAACATGAGATCGCGTTAAGCCCGTGCTGGCTTGGATGGGTTTCCGATCGACCTTTGTTGGGCTTCGAGCAACCCGGGACGGCTGTGAGGTGCTGATGTTTCTAGTGCTGGCCTCAGTGTGCAAGCAGCGGAAGATCAGATCAGCTTCAGCGCAAAACAATCATGTTTCTGTGTGTGTGTGTGGTGTGTGTGTGTGGGTGTGGGTGTGGGTGTGTGTGTGTGTGTGTGGTTTTTTTGAGAGTACCCATTTTGGAGGTTAGGTTAAACGGAAAACGGAAAACTGATGCCCATGTTTCAGAAGGTCCCTGGGCTGTCCCTAGTAGCTTAAGGTCAACCCCACATGCACGGGGGATGTATTTCAGTGGGTTATGACCGAACGGTTACCAACTTACTAACTTGGCGCATCGAAGACCCAAGTACCAGTGTGGTTTACCCTCTATGAAAGCTCGTGGAAGTGAGCGGCTTGAATATGTAGTGAGCTGAACGGCGGGTAGTCATATGGAACACTGAGGTTGATCAACTAGCATGTGGGTTCGCCCTGTTTTTGGGGGAACACCCCCAAATGGATTCGATTTTCCTTTTGGTTTCCCTTCAAAGCCTACCAAAAAGGGCGTCACCTCTAAAAACACCACGAGCCACCCATGCAAAAAATCGCCCAAGGGATGTTTTGGCCCGTCCCGAGCCCAGGCAGCCAGCAACATGTACCCCTACCAGGTCGGGCACGCGGATTGGGCAAGCGCGTCCTTTGAAGCGCGAGTTATTGTCCTTTCTTCTCAGCTGGTACCCCCCTTTTCTTGTGGTTGTTTAAAGGAACACGAAAAGCAACATGGGGAGGGTACATTTGAAATGACTTTTGGAGGTTACACCACCTTTTGGAAGGTCAACATTTAGAGGATGTCACTATGGTCCCCAGTGGAATCCCTTTGGGTTCCAGGTTAATTTGTAGGTACCCACGCTTGAGGGGCATGATGTCAACCTGTCGCTAGCAAGCATAATGCCCGTTTGTCCCATGGACACAGGGCTTCTGGGTCTGATGATAGTTTCTTAACTGGTCAGTTGTGGAACGTCGGAGCTTCAACAATTGTCAACATCAACATCAACATTTGGGTATGTGTCAAAATAGGGATTTGAACCCACAAATTGTTGGTTGCCTTGAAACAGTACCCTCTTGAGCCACAGAAAAAGTACCCTCGGGGGGAAGCAACACACCATCTGCAGCACTGTCTGTTCTGGAATCCCTAAGGGAGGTAGGTACAAGGGGTGGGTAGTTGAGAGGTCTAGGGTTTTTCATAGGGTTCCATACAGAACCTTAGGGTTCCTCGGGTTCCTTGGGGAGCCTTAGTAAATCCCCCCCCTGGACCATCACTGCGTAGGGACTCCATATGGCTCACCACCCATTTCAGAACCTACTTTTGTGGGGATTGGGATGTTCACTGGGGGTTCGATTTGGCTTTGGACCCATGACCATATATCTCCATATGGCCTGCGCCTTGCGCCTCGCGAGGACGAGGACCAGACGCGGACCCGTGATGTCTTTGACCAGGACCTGGCCGGAAGCTCAGCGCTGAATCTTGCTGGTGGGAAATCGGTAGGGAATGTAAGAATGGAATGAACCCAGGCTTTGGTCCCCTTAAAGGAAACCACAAGGAATGGTTTATAAACTTGCTGGTGGGAAATCGGTAGGGAATGAGGAATGGAATGAACCCAGGCTTTGGTCCCCTTTAAGGAAACCAAAAGGGATGGTTTATAAGGGTCATTCCATTTCTCATTCCCTGCCGAGCTCGCACCAACAAGACAACTGGAGATGAACTCTTCGAGTTTGGACATTTAAGATAGCTCCATCAAGCGAACGGCGAGAATCATGTTATACTGGTCTTGGCATTTTACCCCCAGGAAAGGCGGGCCTGTGGGTCAAAGATCGGCACCCGAAATGGAACCGCGGTAACTGGACACATGCACCAAAAATACCGTGGCCGGTTGGTGGTTTCAAATAACCTCATCAACCAGTACCTTCGAACTTGCCTGCTTGTTCCCATGCCCAAACTCCCCTTGCTACGGTAGCAGCTTTTTTCCGGATGTCCCGAACCTTAGCAAGTCTTTCTAAAAAGCAGCCTTGGTGCCTCAATGTTTTTGGAGCTGAAAAGTGCGCCCCTCCATTGGTCCATGTGTCCACTTAAATTGCCGGGGTGGGCCCTCTCCTTTGGGATGGTGTCTAAAATGGAGAGCGCAGCGAACATCCACAGTTCTCCAGCGCATCTCCCAACATCTGAGCCCTCGCAACATGGAAGCGCGCAGGTTTCCACCAGGCAACCAGTCTTAAGGGTCCGTGCACTTCCGTGTTTGTACACAAGTGCCGTGTGTGTGTGTGTCTCTTTTGGACGGCACCTGTTTTCTTGTTCTAAAGGGAAAAATCGAGGATCACCGCGATTTTAGAGGCTTCCCCCTATTTCAGACACGGCCACCTGGCTTCCGATGATCGCGGCTTGAATTCAGCGCCGCCCACTGGCGCATCGCGGTCTTGGCTCGAAGTCTGGCATACCATGAAGGAAGTCATGGCCAGCGCCAAAGAAGGCCACAAGTCAGAGATCCCAAAACGCGGCCCAGCAGGAGTTGACCGATTTTCAAGCCACTTCGGTGGTCCAAAGAACAAGTGGCTCCCCCCTTTTCTGCAATCCGAATCGGGTCCCTAAACGGGTCCCTTAGCAGGACTCGGGTCCCTTAGCAGGAGTCTCCGAATCGGGTCCGCCCAGCATTGAATCCCCTTCAAAAGGCTGGCGCCGAAACGAGTTTGTTAGGCACCCGCCGTATGTTGACACCCCACTTCTCAAGCAGGTAACGTCTAGGGTCCCCGTGTGTGAAATGCAGCTGCCAGGCGAGGCGTGAGTCCGGGACGCAAACCCAAACTTAGGAACAATCGGTTTTGGGGGAAATAGCAAAGCTTGTTACAACACCCCCCACGCCTTCTGGATGGCTTTATGTTTCTCTTTTTTGGGATGACCTTTTGGCAGGCTTGTTTAAAGCTTTGCTTTGAGTCGTGGGTTCACAAGTTGAACTTCGTGCGTGAGCTGAGCATGTGCTCAGCTTCCATGTGACGCCGCGAAGCTTCTTTATGTTTTGTTGTGTGCCCTTTTTAAGCGCTGTTTTTGGCTTGAAACAAGGTCCCAGCGCTTTCGTTTTGCACGTTTTGATGTGAGGCGAGGCGTTTCCATTCAAATGGGTATGAATTCTCGGGAACCCTCCCAGGGTTTCCTCTTCATTTCCCTTTAAGGCAACCAAAAAGGGGTAACCTGAAAAAAGGCACCCAAATATGTGGACATTTTGTGGAATTTGCGGAGTACCAAACTCCCTAAATGGGTCTGTTTTCGTTTGAGGGCACTGCTTGGTCTGTTGTGAGAAAGGGACACCAAACAGAAAACCACCATTGCTGGGGGTTGGCCAAAGAAAGACACACCCAAAAAGGGATTGGCCCCTGGTTGGTGTTTGAACCCAACCCAAGCATTCCGTGACCAAATTTATCCGGAGCTGCTACCTTTGAACCCACGCGGGTGACACGAGGCTGACGTTGAACGTGGGATCTATGGAAGAACGCTTCCAAACCTCTTACTCAGCACGTGAGGACGTGTCAAACAAATGGAAAGACGCAACTTGTTCAATATTCTAGGCTGTGTGCAAGGTGTGTATGTATATACAATTATATACATTGACGTTGAGGCCATGCATACATATATATATATATATTATATATATTTGCGGAACTGAGTGTATATATATATATTTGTATACATATATATATATATACATGCTGTTGTTGTCCAGTGTATAGCCCACTGATGTTGGTTGGGTGGAAACGCAAGGGACCCGTTTCATCTTACAGCTGCTGCCCATTTTTGCTGCGCCCAATTTCCTTGTTGCCCAAAGGTGAGAACCCTAATTCGCTTGGGATTTAAAGCGAATCCCCATATAAGTCCTTGTTGCCATGTTAGAACTGTAAAAGTCAACAGAATCTATTGGATGATCGAAATCCACATATATCGTAGTCATGATGGTTGATGGCGCTAAGATGGTTTTCACTACCCCCAACCACTACCCCTGGGTTTCTATGGCGTGTGCAACCACTATATGGGTTAGTCTTGCTGGTGCTCATCAAGGAATGGCCAGGGTTTCCTTAGAAATTTCCTTAGGGATTTCCTTAACAATGAACCTAGGGATTTCCTCAAGGAAACCAGAAGGGATGTTTTTTCTCGGGGTTCGTTCCATTTCTCATTCCCTGCTGAACCAGCAAGTCGAAACCCGCTCATTCATCCTGTGTAGTGATTTGGGGGTATTGGAAACCATCATAGAATTCATCAACCCATCCAAAACACGGAACATACTGTTGGTGGACGAAATCCTGCGCCAAAAAAAGAACCCGTGGAAACCATGGTTTGGTATTTATAAGGGGAATCATCAGAAACCAGGGTTTCTGACCGGAGGTGCGAAATGGATGACTCGCAACCATCCACAGTAGGTAGCTTCGGTCTGGGGCAACTCGAAGGCTAGGGGCTACCGGGCCCTTCTTGGAACCCATGGCAGGCCTCGCCACCTCGGCTTCGCAGGTGCGCGAAGCTCTCTTTGCTTGCACTGAAAGAGGTGTGTCATCGGTGTGTGGGTTTTTTGTTTGTTTGTTTGGTTTGCTTGTTTGGTTTGTTTGTTTGTTTGCTTGTTTCTTTCTTTCTTTGTTTCTTTCTTTGTTTCTTTCTTTGTTTCTTTATTTCTTTCTTTCCTTCCTTCTTTCTTTCTTTCTTTCTTTCCTTCTTTCTTTCTTCTTTCTTTCTTTCTTTCTTTGTTTTGATTGTTTGATTGTTTGTTTGTTTGTTTGTTTGGTTGGTTGGCTGTTTTTTGCCTTTGATCTGATTTGATTTGATCTGATTTGATTTGACTTTGGTTGTTCCTTTGTTTGCTTTGATTTGAATTGATTCCGATTGTTGTTTGTTTGGTTTGTTTGTTTGGTTTGTTTGTTTGTTTGTTTCTTTCTTTCTTTCTTTCTTTCTTTCTTTCTTTGTTTCTTTCTTTCTTTCTTTGTTTTGTTTCTTTTGATTGTTTGTTTGTTTGTTTGTTTGGTTGTTTGTTGCCTTTGATTTGATCTGATTTGATTTGATTTCGTTTGTTTCTTTGTTTGCTTTGATTTGAATTGATTCCGATTGTTGTTTGTTTGTTTGGTTTGTTTGTTTATGTTTTTCTTTCTTTCTTTCTTTCTTTCTTTCTTTCTTTCTTTCTTTGTTTTGATTGTTTGGTTGTTTGTTTGTTTGTTTGGTTGCCTTTGATTTGATTTGATTTGATTTCATCTGATTTGGTTTGATTTTGTTTGTTTATTTGTTTGCTTTGATTTGAATTGATTCCGATTGTTGTTTGTTTGTTTGGTTTGTTTGTTTGTTTGCGTGGTTCTTTCTTTATTTCTTTCTTTCTTTCTTTCTTTGTTTCTTTGTTTCTTTCTTTTTTTCTTTCTTTCTTTCCTTGTTTCTTTGTTTCTTTGTTTTGTTTGTTTGTTTTGTTTGTTTGGTTTTTTGTTGCCTTTGATTTGATTTGCTTTGATTTGATCTGATTTGGTTTGATTTTGTTTGTTTATTTGTTTGCTTTGATTTGAATTGATTCCGATTGTTGTTTGTTTGCTTGCTTGCTTGCTTGCTTGCTTGCTTGCTTGCTTGCTTGCTTGCTTGCTTGCTTGCTTGCTTGCTTGCTTGCTTGCTTGCTTGCTTGCTTGCTTGCTTGCTTGCTTGCTTGTTTTGTTTTGCTTGTTGGTTTGTGTGTGTGCGCGTTTGCTAGTGTTTGTGTTTTTGCGGGCACCTGTTTTTCACCTTGGTCTGAAGGAGAACAATAAGGGCAGCCGCCATTTTCAGGGTCCCCCTGTTTGA